AGATTGCCCAGTCTTCCTTCCAAGGAGTGGCTGGTGGGTTTGAACCACCAGCCTTCTGGTTAGCAGTCAAATGCCTTAGGCACTATGCCACCAGAGTTCCCTTTCTTACTGTAAAGTAATGTTAAATAAGAACCATATGCACCTGTTGTGAATTACCTACAAATTACCTACAAATACGACTTAAAGACACACTTAGGAACAGATTTTGTGGAGGCTGCCAATATTATTAATTCATCATTAGGTTAAGTGGCATGCAGGAGGAGGAGCTTTGAGCAATTCTCCTCCTTGAGATGGGCCTGGCTTTCTTTCACAGCTTCCTTGTCTCCATCAGTCAATAGTAGTAAGAGTCTGGAAGATCTTGGATCCAGGACAGGGCCTCTACCTGCTGCAGGGCTGGATTTTCCTCAGCCCTACAAAGTGGATCTGACTAGAAAGAACTGGACCTAATGCACTAACAACCTTACTTACTCTGGTTTTTTAGGTGCTGTTGACTCAGCTCTGACTCATAGTGACCCTATCTACAACTGAACAAAACACTGCCCGATGCTATACCATCATCACAATTCTTGCCATGCTTGAGCCCTTCACTGCAGCCACTCTTTTGATTTGTTTTAAGGATCTTCCACTTTTATGGGAACTCTGATGGCATAGTGCCTAAGGCATCTGACTGCTAACCAGAGGCTGGCAGTTCAAACCCACCAGCCATTCCTTGGAAGAAAGATTGAGCAATCTACTTTTGTAGTGACACCGCCTTGGAAACCCAAGGAGGAGTCCCTATGAGTCAGATCTGACTCGATGGCAGTGAGTTTGGTTTTGTTTTCTTCCTCTTTTATGATAACCCTCTACTTTACTAAGCATAATATTCTTCTCCAGGGAATGGTCCCTTCTGACAACATGACCAAAGTAGGTGAGATAAAATCTAGGCATTCTTGCTTTCAAGGAGTATCTGGTTGCACTTCTTCTGAGACAGATTTGTTTTTCCTTCTGGCAGTCTGTGGTACTTTCAGTACTCTTCACCAAAACCACAATTCAAGTGCATCAACCTTTCTTTGGTCTTCCTTCTTCCTAATTACCTCCTCTACAATCTATTATAGGGCCTGCGCCAGTACATAAGTACTTCCATGATAATGTTTTCCTAAACTTTCATTATATAATGAGGGTGTAATTGAGTGAAAACCAGGTATTTCAGGACAGAGCCCCTACTTTACAGAACTCTGGAGAAATGTCCCACACACTGGAGTTGAAGAATATAGCAGCCCTGCTTCTAGGCAGGGATGGTGTTTAACCTGCACATGCCATTCAAGCCATAGCAGATGTTTCTTGCTGGTGTCCATTTTTATTTGTTGGTGTCTGTGCCATATTGGCTGCTAAACATTTAGACTATTATTCTAGCTTCAAAGGTTACATCAACATGACTAAGGAAACCGCATGTACTAACCCAGAATTCCAAGATGCCAGTTCAGCAGCAATTCCCATTCCCTCCCGTACTCTATAATGGAAGCAGACAGCTGGGAAGAGGGGGCTCAGAACCTGCCTCTCAGAAGTGGCTTTAATGGGCAGCCTCTTCTTGGAAACCATTCCACAGAGATGCCAAGATAATTGTTGCATTCCATTCTACAAAGTTATACAAGAGCTTTAAGAGGACTTGGGAAAAAGGCAGAGAGAGAAGCTAGAGGTGACAATGGGATAGGTAGGGTTAGCCCCTGGAAGCTGAAAGATCGGATAACAATCTGCAACCAGTACATTTTCCCTTACCTTGAGAACATTTGTTACTCACCTCCTTGCCCCTTTCAGTTCTGCTGACATGGTCAAAGTCACATATAGCAAATGCAGCTAAATAAGTTGGCATTTGGGGTGTTGTATAAAAGGTAGCAACAGTCCATTTGCTTCCATTCACATCTTCTTTTTCAGACTGACCTACAGAAATTTGTTTTAGTCCATAACACTGTAAACCTGGTCAGCAATATACACCTTTGAAATAATTCATCCTCAACTGTCATTCAGCTACTTCTTCCCAACCACTTTTCATAGTCTAGCAATTTGGAAAATGACTTGATGTAACCTAACAATAACAACAAACTCTCAAAACTGAAGCACTGATGGTTCAGTGGTAGAATTCTCACCTTCCATACAGAAGACATGGGTTCCATTCACGACAATGTACCTCATGTGCAGCCACCACCATCTGTTGGTGGGGACCTGAGTGTTGCTACGATGCTGAATAGTTTCAGCAGAGCTTCCAGTCTAAGATAGTCTAAGAAGAAAGGCCCATCAATCTACTTCTGAAAATCAGGCAATGAAAACCCTATGGATCATAGTAGTCTGAGCCACAACCAGTCATGAAGGTAGCAAAGGACACGGCAGCATTTTGTTCCATTGTGCATGAGATCTCCATGATTCAGGGGCCTACTTGACGGCAGCTAACAACAAGCTATCAAAAACCGCACTAGGAAGGTCTAAGGACAGCATCGAGAGCCCAAATCAGCATCTTGAGTAATATGGGCTTGATTGAGGGCCAAATCCATGAACAATGTAAGTCTGACCTCCAATTTGCCTTCTCTCTCTTTTCACCCACTCTACTATTTCCTGTTGTTGTTGTTATGTGCCATTGAGTCAGACGGGCTCATAGCAGCCCCTCCTTGGGTTTCTGAGGCAGTATCACTACAGAAGCAGATTGCCCAACCTTCCTTCCAAGGAGTGGCTGGTGGGTTTGAACGGCCAGCCTTCTGGTTAGCAGTGAAGTGCCTTAGGCACTATATGCTACCAGAGCTCCTTACTATTTCCTAGTCCAGCCCATTTCTCACACTGTAGGCAGTTTCTCAGTTATGAACAGCCAGCTTCTGTACAACTCCTACTTGTCCTTTAATGTCATGTAAATTTACGCTCACTTTGAAACTACTGAACCAACCCCTACTCACAACAAATTCTTCATCACAATCACCTTCACTTGGCTGCACGTGAAGCTTTTAAATCATTGAAAAGGCTCCGAGCCTTTTCTTGCTCTGAAGTAAGGCTAAATAAGAACCATATGCACCTGTTCCAACTCACAAATTCCACTTAAAGCTTAAAGAAGCAGTTAGGAAAAGATCTTGTTCATAACCTGGGGACAGCCTATACTTAACCTCAAGCTGCCCAGGCCCACAATAGATCAATAGGTAAAATTTTGTCACTTTCAGGACTCATTTATAAGTCTGCAGTGCTGGGAGTATGGGCCCTTTCAAGTAGAAATCATAAACTCAAATGCCTACAAGGGCAAGGTAGTCAATGTGAAACGGGCTAGTATACAATGACAGGAAGTGGTAGGGACCAAGGCAGACTATGGCACACAGACCCAGTGTATAGGCAGCCACTCCTCAGGTGTAACTGACTACTATCGCTTAGGAACTACAAGCTAATTATTGTTAAATCTTCTGAGTCTTCAGGGAACTAAAAAAAGCTCGATTTTATGTGAAGTCTCTGGATTTTTTAAAACACTAATAAAGCAAAAGGAAAAAGTCATGTGAGCCAAATCAAACACACCTGTGTACCAGATTCAGCCCATGTCTACCAGCTTATTATCACTAAAGATCAATAGTTGAAGCCCTGTCTTCTTCGAACTTCTCTAAACTTCCAATGGCAGACTGCCCAGGAATAAAAACAGACTGTTTAAAACAGTACCTGTAATGTCCTCAGCTTCTAATACAAAAATACTCAGGATTTATCATCTCCAAGATGTGATGCTGACACACACCTCATCTGCCTGCTCTCCCTGTACACATTCATCTCCACGGTTAACTCTCTCTCCCAGAATGTACCTGGACATTGACTACACTGATTTAAATCCACAATGAAATCGTTTGAAGATAATACTCCAGTGCAATGTTTTTAAATCACTGCCTGTCTTCTGAGTTTTCTAGAAAACTCCAATATTTTGCATGATGTGGGATCACTGATAACAATATAATAACATAATCATTATTATATAACAGTTATAATACATTACCAATACATTGCCTAGAAGAGCTATTGATACAAAAGCCATTACAGAGTTGAATGTGTGTGAGTATGACAATGTGATGACAGGAAGAGTTACTTACCTAGTTTTGGCATGTTGGAAAGGGCCACATAACTTGGATGATGAATTATTGTAATATTAAAAGTTGCCTTCAGAGCTGGCTCATCAAAACAAGGGAAAACATTCCTTGCGAATGTGGGCTCCATCTGAGATGCTAACAGGGCTCTGAAATATATTTTTTGGGAAAAAAAAATTATTTGTACCTCAATAAAAGGATTATGGTATAATTAAACCTGGGGTTTGAGAAGGAACTAGAATACTTTCTTCTCATCTTCCTCACTGCCTTCCCCAGAACATGTACACAAACCCCAATTCTCACTGCACTTCAGAATTCTTGTAAGACTGGAAATACCAAAAAAAAAAAAAAAATTCATTTTCAACCACAAAATAATATTTGCATTATTACATAATAAGCCTATCAAACCTTTCATAAACAAAATAGAAATAAATACATCAAATATGAAATGCCAGTATTTTGAGAATCAACTATTTTTCAAACTGGAATTACTTCCTTGGGAATAGTCCATTGTTTTCATTCTCCACCAAAGAATAAGTCAACTGAAGAATGTCTCCATTTTTCTCTTTTTTTCATATGTCCTCTCTTACTGGTTGAAAACTTATAAAAAAAAAATTTACTTTGGATACCCCTGGGCTAAACCCTTGGATGTCGCTGAGTTATTGCCAACTGAGCAAAACAGTGTATATCTGGTTAGATTTACCAAATCCCTGAAGCTCTTTCCCTCATCCCCTGGAAAAATACAGAAAAGGACATTATCTCACAGTGTATGGGGAGATCTTGGAGACAAAAGTACACGAGCAAACAAGGACATTGTCAGGTTCACCCTCTGCTAACATGGATCTGAACTAACAACAGCAAGTAAACAGCTTTCTCCTCAAAATAAATCTGACAATTGTGGATGGTAAAGTCCTTTATCTCCTAAAGGCCTGATATTTAATATCTCTGATTTCTGATGCATTTACCTTTGCTTCAGGTCCAGTTTTAAGATAAATAAAAGGTGACTTCAACAAAGGTAATGTTGTAAGAGTATGTCCCATCTATCACCTACCTCTGTGAACTTCTCCTCCACCATGATAAGACCTAGGTTCACATAAACTTTCACACAGCTTTAAGAAGGACACACACGACAGGCGCCCTATTCAAAACCTCTCACAGTAAGTTAATTTGATGTGTCCATAATCTCACTGTGACAAAACTATCATTTCCAACAGTTTTGCTCTATTTGCTCTCTCCTATTTTATCCTATTTTTGCTTGCATGTAATAGAGGGAGGTTTTAGGCTCTGACACCAGACACTATGGCTGCAGAAACTTTTTCCACTGAGCAATCCTGGACAAGCCACATAACCCTGCTGAGCCTCTGTTTTCTATCTAAAAAATAATAACACAATCTACCTGTTCTACTGTTGAACTCTGTATTATTGTTAAATAAATTTACCAATACACAGCTCTTGAATTCTCCTAGATTCCTTCCAATCTCATAAATTATTGTTAAAACAGATGAATTATTGCCTTAGGCACTGTGCCACCAGCACTCCTTAAATGAACTATAGAAGAATTAACATAGGGATTAGTTACAGGGCACGAGTGGAGAGTTGGAAATTACTAGTTGCAAATGTATTTTTAAGAGGTTCCAGGGCTCACAATTGGCCATAAACTCAATAGCATTTAGGATTGTCTCCCCAGTAAATTTTAAGCTACTACTAGTTGGGGATTAAAGATTCCTAATCCACTGTCATTTATAAATGTGGCAAACAAAATCTGAATTTGTAGCATATGAATACATATTTCTTTGTTCAACCTTGGAGCTCTTGTAAGATAGAGGCATAAAGAATATTAAATACATTTGCATAGTTTGTTTCACTGGCATTTGGTTTGCAGTTTTGGTTGCTATCTTTATAAGGAATAGGATAAAGTACAGAGGATCCAAGCATTTGATAGTACATGGAGTATTGAGTAGAGCATCCAGCCACCTGAATTTCTGTTCAGGACCTGCTCTGTAACTCAGTTGTGGAACTTTGGGAAAGTTACGGAAACTTTCTGGACATCTATGTCTATAGAATGCATGGATGGGAATACATCATCTCTAAGGCCACTTAGAGCTGTAAAACTTTGATTCTAAGAGGGTTAAAGATACCCAAAAGGATGGGGAAAAAAAGCCCATGATTTGGAGAAACACCACCATCAGAGGATCATGCATGGCCCTCAGGAGGTCTGAGTCCCCTAAAATTGTAGGACATTTTGTACAAAAGTGGATATATTGGCATGAAAAAGTTTAGCGTAAAGTGTAAAAGTACATCTAATTCTATAAGTACACATTTATATACTTGGAAAACCAACAAATGCCTATTGATTTTTATTATAGAAATTATGGAAAGTAAAGCTTGACAGCATCTCCTTAGCTTCTATGACTTCACAAAGCATATGAATCTCAAAGAGCAAGGTGGGGAGCAGGAAGAAAATTAGACTCTCCATGAAAATGGGAAATGTTTATGTTCATCAAAAGGGGTGACAGGTTCAAAAAGGGTAAGAGACAACAGCTTAGACAATCACTGCATGAACAAGTCAAACGTCAAGCAAGTGCCTTCCGATTCCATGATCCAGGTCTGCAGAGAAGTGAAACAAAAGAATCTCGTGGATTTCACTCAACTATCTCTCCCTAGTTTTAAACAAACAAACAAAACCTTAGGGACAAATCCCTACAACACACAGCCTTTCTGGCTCTCAACGTTAACTGCACAGATCCCTTTTCCAAAGGTCAGGGCCAACCAGCAGCACATGTAATCTCATAAAGTCACAACTGGGGAACCTCACACTGGTGTTGCATTCCCTTCTCTCTTTGCTCTGGACTCAAGCTACTCTGTAAGGATTTCCTGATCACAGAAAATAAAATGCACCACCCTCTCCTCACTTAAAATCTCACTAAAACATGTTATTATGTTGCTCATAAAGTCTGTGTTTAGAGTGGTCAGCTGATAAGGGAGTTAATTTGGGAGAGTTTGTCTCCTAGTGGCTCAGTATTGTAGAGCCACTTGTCTATGCTCTCATATAGCCAAAGAATCATGGACTCATTGTCTTGAACCACAGAACCACAGAATGCCCTTGGGAATCAATCTACTACCACATAAAAAAATCCACTCAGTTAGGTATTTCATCCCAAATTATGGGATGAAATTTATGAACTCCATATGCCTCCAGCTTTACTTAACAAGTGCTAAATGACAAAGCTTATCAAGAATTAAACAGGACTCTCTGGGGAAATGTCCTTTTTTTTTACACAATAACACATCCAGAAATCAAAATGTTTAGTAGAGCCAGATGTTACACCACTGGACTGTGGTTCAAGGGTTGGCCTATGAATCATGTTTATTACTTGTGTAATAGGATCTTAAAACTGAAGTTTCCATCACACAACAAAACATAATAATTCCAAGGAAAATTCCAGAAGAAATGTACCAAACCATCATATGAATATTTACAAGTAAATGACCTTGAGAACCTGTTCCATGACCCTTGGGCCCCTCTACTAGGTTAAGGACATAGAAGCAGGTCAGGAAATGGAGAGAAAAGAAGTCTCTTAGTGAGGAAGGGTTGTATTTGGCCAAAACCTCTCAGGGAGTTGGGAGGAAGTGTAACCCTCTAACTGAGCCAGGAAGGAAAATACAAAGTGTTTCTTGAGGCTGAGAGCTTCGGAGGCTGATGCCCAAATCATCTTGAGAAAACAAACTGACACTGGCTAGATAGAACTGCTACCAGGTGGGAATCTACAAGGCAAGGAAAGATCTAATTGCTTGCAAAACAGAGCCAAAAGAGGGTTGCTGCCTAGGGATCCACATTTGTTCCAGGCAAGTGATGCGTGCGTGTTCCTTAGAAGAGCTTTGGACTCCGAGGCACAGAATGAGCCAGTGTGAGGTCGATCTTGGGTGCTGTCCAATAGAGCCACCTGGAGGGGCCAAAGAGGCCTGGGGATATGCAGGGGCTGAGAAAGCAGTCACAAGAAACCATCAGAACAGAGAAATCCCGCTGGATCAAGGGAATTACAGAGAAAGAAACAGCAAGGAAACCTCTGAAAAGTCCAGGAAAATATTTCAAGTGAAAATGGCATCTGCTACACCAGACTGAGACCAACAGACAAGAGTATTAGATGAAGAAAGGACTTCACTATGTATCCCTACTCCCTGTCTTTTTCAACCACACTGGACCTGGTGGGATCGAAACAGCAGATGGGAGGGGAGAAGGAGAAACAAGAGATGGAGAAATAGAGAACCACCACTACCTTCTACCTTATTACAGACTTCCATTATGAAGCATGCCAGTGCTTGAGGAAGTCAGGTAGAGGGAGTATGGTAGTTAAGGTTGTGTGTCAACTTGACTGAACCTAGATGAGTGGCTGGGCAGCTGGTGGTAGTTATTCCCCATGATGAGACTAGATCAACTCCATGGTGGGATCGACCACATGCAGCTGAGTAGCTGCTTTAGGGCTGTGGTCTGCTTCCGGTATATAAGAAGCTGCTTTGGAAACGGTCTCTAGTTATGGCATGGTTGATCCCCGCATGTAGCCGAGTTGTTGCTCTGTAGCCTGCCATGCTCTGCCAACCTTGGGACTTTCAGTGGACTTGAATTAATAACCTGCTGTGTGGTTTGGTGACATTGGGACTATTCCTTTTTACTTGTGAACCTTAGGTTTATCAGGCTCAGTAGCCAGCAGCTGTCTGGGTGAAGAAAAGCCTCTAGCTTCAGTGGGCTGGGAGCAGGAGGCAGAACTGAAGCCCAAGGTTGAGGGGCTTTCTCTCAGCTCCTAGAGGCTGGCACTTTGAATTCGTACTTAAAGCCTCAAAATTGTAAGAGAATAAACTCCTGTTTGTTAAAGCCATCTCATTTTTGGTATATGTTTGTCAGAGTGTCACTAGGTAACCAGAACAGGGGGTAAGAAGGGAGATTTAACAGGAAGTTAAGTCCAAAGTTTTGATTACTACACAGGGTAGGATTTTTAAATTTCTGCATCTGGACTGTGTTTATAACCTAGTGATTGTAAATCATCTATCATTTAAGAATGACCAGGAAATCATAGGTTGTTGCACGCTTCATGCAGAAACAGGAAAGCTGACCTCATAGACAAAATTGTAAAAGGACAACGGGAGGAACAAA